AAGTGACTACTTCAGTTACTCGATATAATCTCAATATGTACTGAAATTTTCGTTGAAATTAGGGAATACTGCTACAAAATATACTTGAAAAGCAATTGAGGCACCAAGGGATTTATAGGGGGCCCCTTCATGCATTTTTAAAAATCTGACAAACAATTTCTATCTCATTGTAAGAGCGTAACAAACATGCAAAATTTGATCAAAAACGAAGCAATTTGAATTTTGAGGGGGTTCATTTTGGGGCACCCTGGGGGTCTCAGTGTCAAGAGAAATGAAAACCAATATAGCGTATAATAAGCGTGACAGTAAGTTGCATACATTTATCAAGTTTCATTAAAATCGGCCTTAGGGTTTAGACTTCAAGTCTGAAAGTTTAAAAACAACAAAACTAATGGAAATTCCCATTTAAACATTATATTTATCGATTATCGTTTATTGATTTGTGAAAAATGACTAATTTATTGCCTAGACACAATCTATGTTCCAAATTTGGTAGAAAATATGCCTTATGGTTCACGAGTTCGCGAACACACACACACGCACATAGTCAGTTTTATATATATATATATATATATAGATAGATAGAAGATTATTATTCTTCACATGAGCAGCCCAAGTCAGAAAATTTGCCATGGAAATAGCGATGATGTAGCTCTTTCTGATATACTTTATTTATTACGAACTATTGTTCACATCTTCATATATATATATATATATATATATATATATATATATATATATATATATATATATAATGTTTCAACAAAGTCACCTGTGGTCATCATCAGGTGTCTATTGTTTTGGTTGATACGAGATATCTGTTGATATGTGTCATTCGTCATCTAATGCTATTATTTGCTCCTATTAAGGCAGATTTTCATGACCTGATCCAGAGATTGAACAATTCTTCTTCTTCTTCTTCTTCTTCTTCTTCTTCTTCTTCTTCTTCTTCTTCTTCTTCTTCTATGTGCTATGTACTTTCTATTCTTTGAAGCGATTACTAATGTATATTTTTGCTACCTCTCCTAATCTCTGCTGACTACCCAATCTTGTTAGGTAGATTTCATTGCTTTCCTCTATCTCACTCGCTTTCAGTCTGTCATGTCAGTGCCAAATTCTCCAAGCCGTCCTTCCTCATTATATGTTCCAGAGATTTCAGCTGTCCTTTTCCGATTCCAGGTTCCAATGAACTTTTTGTTTCTATTTTCTTTCAAACTTCCTCGCTGGTCACGTGCTCTGTCCACAGTGTTATAAAGCATCTTTCTGTAGAACTAAGCGCCTGTTGCCTCAAGTCTTTTCTTCATCTGTGAGGAGATTTTTCAACATGTACAGCCATACAGGAAAATTAAATAACAGTTGAACACACCTTTTTTTTTCTAAGGAAATCTTCTTGTTTCTCTATTATTTTGTTTTTGGAAAGCATCCTCCACTATTTCAATATGGCTTCGCATTTCTATGTCACATTTTCCATCCTCCATCATTAACACTTACCAGATAAATAAATTTTCGTTATTCTGCCTCTGATTTGTAGTTAGTATTGTGGGTTGTCTCTCTTGCTAACAATCATATATAATTTTTCTTTTAATTGATTATTAGTCCTGTTTTCTGGATATCTTTTACTTCCTTGTTTCGGAGTTCTTCCAATTTTCTTTCTGTTTCTGTCATCAGCACAGTGTCATTTATATTTCATGATGTTTAACGGTTAAATAATTCATTGTTTTACACCCCTATTCGATTTTGGTGAACTTCCTCAAATCACGATCTTTTCCTTAATCTAAGCGAAAATATAATTTTAAAATCTTTATTCCGGTTAATATTCTGATTTCATTTCCGGTTGAAATATTTTTTTGGCGTAAAAAACTTTTAAGGAATTTAAAAAAAAAAGCAAATTATTTCCCCTTTTTTCTATTTAATGAATGAATTGAAATAAATGTAACTAAACAAGTATTTGAAGTTAATTACATTAACAGTTGGTGTTGTGACTTACGACTACGCCACTTCTGCAGTCTTTCTAAGCTGTAATGAAAAACAAATCATCGTACCTTTTTTGTCTGAAAATGCCTTCAAGGCAGAAGTCTTTTAAATATAATCCGACATTCGTTCGAGTTGTTATCATTTTCAGCAGACATCATGAGTTGAATTAATTTTGCATATTGTATTTATTTTTCTTAATAATAATAATAATAATAATAACAGCGCAAAGCATCTCAAGTAAGTGCTTTTTAATATTTTGAGCGCCAAGAACGATTGCGTCTGTCTTTATCGTTAAGCATGCTTTGATTTGCAGACAAAATAAATAAATGAAACGAAAAAAAAAATACATTCAATAATTTCATATTTGCAATTTACTGATAATTTTCGTCCTTATGATAGTCTGATCAGTGAGCAATAGCTAACAGTCAGTTACCGCTGTAATGAATTCATTTCTCCCTCAGCCTTTTTTCTTTTTTGTCCATGTGTTATTGAAAGTTAATCTTATTTATACGCAGGCACATCACCGTGAACTAAATATAAGAAAAAAAATCATCTCAGGATAATTGTGATCAAAATTATCATTGTTACTAGTATTATCTTGGTATTTATGAAATGAGGAGATAATGTTAAAGAAAAAAAAAACACTGATATACACGCTGATATCATTTCAACTAAAACCTCTTTGTAATAGTGAATTCCTAGTCCATGCATACATACATACATGCATACATACATATAAGACGGGCAGCGTAGCTTAAGCAGCAGCCGGATGTGAACACTTCAAATGCGGAAATCGAAGTAATAAAACTTGTGCATAGGGATCGCTCGACATCTTCCGGAAAGAATAAACAAGCTTCAAATACATATAAACACAACTTGTAACCAGTCAGGGGCTTTCCCGTTTATTTTTGGTAGTTAAAAAAATCATTCATTGTGATCGATCTTGCACGGATAAAACGAATAATATTTAAAAAATTCTCACTGCTAATCACCATTAAAATGTCCCGCTCTTGCATGTACCTACGCTGACTCGGATCTCATTCCACAAATCCTGACACATCAGCCATTAAAGTAGTTTATTTATTTATTTTCATTTCATTTCTCAGTATAAAATATTGAACCTAAAATCCATTAGACGCGATAAAATTGTAGTTAATTAAAAATAAATGGTGTTATATAGGAATATATTGCTATGATAATATTCACACGATTAATATTATTCGTCGTTTATTTTACTCTATTTTTCACGCAATACAAAACTCCGGAGCCTTTCTAGGTAGAGGATTACTTAATGGGGCTGTTTTATTGAAATAAGTATTGTATATTACGATGATATGTAGAATGGATAATGATTGATCCTAAACTTGAAGTGTTCGGGGAAGCATCCTATTGAAAGTCTGTACCACAAATCAACGACTCTTTGGTGATTATCTGATTAACTTCCTTTTAATTAATGGGATAAGAATGACTTGTCCCTGTTTATCTTGATTCCTAAAATCTCTCGCCTTTCGAAGCAAAACAAATCCGACCTCAGATCATTCCAACTCTACTGTATATATGTAAACTTGTGACGTACTAAGATGGTAATGATAGCCGCTTTCTCATAAGATATTCGATATTCATTGATTGAGCAATCAGTCCCACTGACTGTTGAAATGTATAGAATCTCTTTTAATTCAATTCTCAGGAAAATAGGTTACTTGATGTCCACTAACTGCTATCACAATTTCTAGTATTGATGGGGCTTTCCTGTCTAAACTTTTATTCGATGTAGCGTGGGATGTCAACAACTTGATTACATTATATATTCGAAATTTATTTTAATAGTTGCTGCTGTTGAAAAACCTAATCTTATGTGGTTTCTGTTACTTGATTCAGTTTCTTGTTTGTGATTTGTAGCGCCAGTCCACGAGATTCAATCGTAGCCATTTTTAATCCTTGATCTGAGAAAGTGGTTGAGAGAGTTCTGAATGGGTTTGGCGCCATGCATGGCATCCATATGAAAGTCTCGACCTGACGAGATAGTTTAAGAACATTTGAGTGTTTAGGTTAATGTTTTTGTTTTGTAGTAACTTGTGGTATTGGGTGAAACTACTCCTAGCGCAATATTGGGTAAGCTTACTGTTGTGGCCTTATTAGGACCAGAAATAAAGACACAAGAGAAGAAATGAGTTAAACAAATATATTAAGAGAAACCGTAATAGAAACATATACAAACGGGAGTATTACAGCAAGAATGTTTGTTCCAATGTCAGAGCTGGCTGCTAGAAACTTCTCCCACCAAAAGGCAGTACCTGCTCCTATTAATAGCTGGGAGAGTCTATACGTTCATGGGTAAATTACCATAACACTTACTAAATGCTTATTAGTGTAGAATTTGAAGTTTCCAGTCATAATGTCTGCTGGAGGTCAAGAGGTCACTCGGTAACAAATCTCCTCAATAGTCTTCGATTATTTTGCCAACCTAACCAAAAAAATAAATATTACAGTTGTATGGATGCTTCCATATTTTGCAGATTACCGTTTTAGTTGTATTGCTGACGTAAGTAGTAAATGACTGCAAATTCTTTCAATCGCAGATTTCTTTGCTGTCATCCGGGCATTCAACACCCTTCCACCGATTCCTAGTTCTTTAATTTTCTGAATTATTTCCATTGCGCCGATAACGAACACCAAAATGTCTATTACTCATTGAATTTTCCCCCTTTTTCTTATATATATATATATATATATATATATACAAACATTTGGTTAGTTGTTTTTGTTCGGCGTCATAGTAACACCTCTATGGGTTATTTAATGCTGAAATCTAAATCTATTGTACGCAATTTTATTTTATTTTTGGTGATAATAATAATGGTTAAGTGATACAAGTCTTACTAATTAACCCATAGTTGAGGGGAGAAGAGGTGGATTGATACCTTTGCCAAGGTTATTTGCGCGTAAGTGAATATAACGGAATTGGAACTCGGCTCTCCGATTAAAAATTCCAAGCCGTTATCCATTACGCCATCCGCAAATCCAAGCTTACAGCACTTGCTATTCCCAAGTGGTCACCCCTCTAGATAGTGACCAGACTCGACGTTGCTTAACTTCGGTGATCGTACGCGAACCGGTGTTTCATCGCGATATGGCTTAGGAGGCGTGCGAAGCCGTTTCTTCTAAGCCAAGGTCACATCGTTTACAGTCTGGTAATTCCGACAAGCCTCATATGAAGAGCTTGTCATTGAGAGTTAGCCTATTCCAAACCAGTCGCCAGGTAAGTGAAAACTCAAGGTTGCTGAGGTAATCCGCCACTGGCGCCCAAGACTAGAAGGGGCGGAACTCCTCCTCCGACAAGTCGAGCCTCACACGTAGCGGATCCTTCGCGGCCCCCTCCACTAACCCTCGATAGAGGACTCTTCTAGGCCGATCGACACTCGCGAAGGAAATCAGATTGATCCCGGGGTTTACGACAGCGCTCAACACGTGACAGGGGAGGACTGATATTAAGGCAAGAGAAGGCGACCATTAAAATCTCCATAACACAGAATGGAATCTCCTGTCAATGATTAGCGTAAGAAAGCCAGCCTCGAGGCGAGTTTGTAACTCGCCAAATGCGGCATTTCCAGCTCCCCATGACACGGACGCCGCGCACAGACTACTCTGTCGACTTTATGTTTGTGTCGCCCCCAACGTCCCCGACCTGTCCTTCACGGACTACGTGCGATGACACCAAGTTCGAGCAGCCGTGCCAACCTTTGCCTGTACTTCTGACCAATTTTTTTCCAGATGAAGGTCGGGTCCAAACCACACTCTGAGACAGTTTTGTCCAACCAAAGAGCCCCAGATGATTGACCCCCTTCCAGGCACCTAACCGCAAGCCGGAAGACTTGGCGTGGTTAATCTTAGCCTCTGTCACCTTTTCGTAGCGTTCAACCGTCTTCAGTACCATCTCAATCTAGCTGCGGAACGACACGTCATCGGCGTACGCGGAAACCCTAGCTCGAGCCCCGCTCCAGGGACAGCGATTCTACGTCGGGCCGGTGTGCATGCCCTGCCCCTTATCCGGCGAAGGAGAAGATTCAACGCTAAAATGTAAAGTAGAGGCGACAGTGGACAGCCCTGAAAAACTGACCGACACAGCGCAAAAGCGCCCGACAGCTTCATCTGTACCACACCAATGAGGGAACGATACAGCAGGTCCAGAATTTGGGTTGAAATCCAGGGCTTGCAGGACAGCAGCCAGGTAGCAATGGTCAACTCTATCAAATGCTTTGAACTGATCCAAATTGATCAGCACGGCCTTATGGTCGCCTTTTACACACTCTATAATCGTGCGGATCAGATGCATGTTAATCTGAATTGTTCAGCCTTTCACAGCACAAGTCTGCTCAGGTCCCAACAGATACTCGGTAACTGACTGCAAACGCTCCGTCAGGGTCTTGGCCGATAATCTTTAACTCTGTGTTTAGCAGAGTTATGGGTCTATAATCATCTAAATCCCGACCAATATCCTTGCCCTTTTTCAACAGCGTGATCACACCCCTGGAGATCCGGTCGGGGACGGACCCCTGCCCGAACCAGATGGTGAACACGACAGTCAAAATTGTGGCACAGATGTGCGACAGCCTCAAGTACAATTCATAGGGCAAGCCATCTAGACCCGGCGACTTGCCTCTGCTGACCTTCTTCAATGCCGCGTAGACTTCACCCTCTGTGGTCTCTTCCTCGCAGCTAGCTAGCTTCAGTCGGCGAAAGCCGAGGAAAGTCAGTCAAATAACTACGAAACTCTTCGTCACGTAGACCAGGCTCCCCAGTAAACCGTCTCTCGAAATACCGCCTAAAGGCCTCGCACATGTCGTAAGTGGCCCTCAGAGTATGCTCATCCGGGGTTTTGACCTAGGAATGTAACGACCGGAACCTCGATGGATCTCTTCCTTGCGCAATTCTACGCCCATATTCACAGCATCGGAAGACATCTTGATTAAATCATGTCTAATTAAGGCCTTACACAGATCCCTCAGACCATTCGCATTCAGACAGGCTATCTTGATGGACATCTTTTAGGTCTGAAAAAAAAAACAAAAAAAAACAATTAACCTATTCACATACCGGGCGGAAATCTGCGCTGGTAAGGACCCCGACGGATTGTCCAAGGACGAATACGGAAATAGGGACCGATTTTGTCTATATACGCATGCGCCCTACTTCGCCTGGCGTGTTCTTGATTAGCCACGGGAGGAGGCATTCCGCCCAACTCCATGTCAGGTTGCTGCTGCTGCTTTTGCTGTTCTTGCTGTTGCTGTTGTTGCTGCTGCTGCTGTTTTGTGGGCTGTTTTTTCTCTCCCTTCACCTGCTCATCCTGTGCCTCCTTTAGCCGCTCCTTGCTTTTTGGGGGACAGCACATCGTGTTTTGGAGGAGTGGTCACGTCTCTAGCTTTCCGTCCCTTTACCTTCTTTCATTCCCCATCAGGGGTCTCCTCTGTTGCTGCTACTTTTGCTGCTACTGTTGTTACTGCTGTTTTAGTTGCTGTTGTCGCTAGGCGGGGTGGAGGCTACGAGTTCTTGTGGTGCGGGGGGCACGCTTTAGACATGTGACACAATGCTCCGCATGACCAACTATACGTTTTGCGCCCATCCCATCTCTCCTGGCACACCAGTATATTTGTTTTCCCCCACCTCCCCCATAATGCCTGCTGGGTAATTGTTACATTCAACATGTCTCCCGTAGTAATTCCGGACCTGCTCATGATAGACGAGACTTCCTCTACCGATCAGTACTGTGAAACGAAGGCCCCCATTTTGTCTTCACATATGTCCACGGGCACTCCAAGCACCGTAATTTTTGTGCGTCCGGTGCCTATGTATTCTTGTTCCGTTGAAAGTAGATCCCACAGAGCATTTGATTTTCTCGCTAGAAACTTTGGTTTTACACTTAATTTGTTTTGTCGGACCTCCATAATCATTCGATGAAAAGAAGATTATTTTTGTCTTATAGATAAGTTTAGTAATTGTATTATAGAAATAGTAAATGTATACACTTTATTTTGAAGTAAGACTAAATTCTATGGAACATTTATGTACACTAGTAAAATATGTCATAATAAACCATTTTAAAATATGTGATTAATTAATAATTAATACATTTAAAAAGTATAGATTTATTCAATAAGGTCCCAGTAGTTGATACTTCTTTCCGAATATTTTTATATTCAGCTCCGTCGATGTCAATGATAATCGAAGATCACCCCTTTTCACAAGGTCGATTCTATTAATATAATTAATTTATATTAATATATTAATATCTTATTTTATTAATATTTAAAATTACTATTATTATTTATTATTAATATATTAAATTAAATTATATAATCTTTATATAATTTACCTTTAAATATACATAATCCTCCCTTTATATATCCTTCTCAATTTCTATTCAACTTTTCAATCAAAACGGTAGAGATGGACGCTCTCTCATCACTTGATTTCGTTTTTTGTTGGTTTTAGAGGTGTTTTTCTATTTTTAGTATTTTTAATATGGCGTAGATTACTGTAGAAATTTCAATTCTCAGTTGTAACAACCGTTTCTAAGTGAAATTGGTCTATGGTCCACCAAAATATTACCCAATAAATATATATACAGACTCATTGTTACCCACGCTAGGATTTTTTCTTTTTTTAAAAAATTATCATCTTATGATTTGTATTTACGAAGATATTTTAAAATTAAAATGAAGTAGAATGCATTCGAAAATCTCAGAATTAAAAAGTAAAAACGAACGGTAATAATTCTTATTCCCGATTAGGATTACCGTTCGTTTTTACGTTTTTTTCTACTGAATATGTATTTTTAAACTTTCTATTCTCTTTAATTTATTTTCACATCTATAGTAAATAAAGCGCAGTTTTAAAAATGGATATTAAAACAACAAAGTAAATTTAAAAGAAGAATAATATTAAATACAATTATTTGAAAACAAAGTTTAATATTTATATTTAGTCAAATATTCGAGTGTGTGTGTATGTGTGTGTGTGTGTGTGTGTGTGTGTGTGTGTGTGTGTGTGTGTGTGTGTCCGGATAAAACGTCTAAATAAAGTAAATAGACTTAAATTAGGATATATTTAAATATATTTAATCATTTCTTTCAACCAAAAACTACAGCGAACCTTACGCCTACGAAAAATAGTTATTTATTATTTATTTTGGAAGGGAATTTAGATTTTTTTTAAGTAAATAAAGTTTTACTTTTAAACATTATATTAAAGAAGCAAACACATCTCCGTACATGAATTTAATAACTAATTATTTTGAAAGAGAGTAGAAGTAAGATACATTGAGAATTGAGTTTTAATAATGGATTATGTTTAAATTTCAAGTTATAATTGTATTTGAAAAGAAAAGAATAGTTAAATAAAAATTATAAGAGACAGATTTGCGTTACGGTCAACATTAGTCGTGTTGAATATGTTTTTTTTTTACGGATTTAACCATATTTTATTTAAATTAAAATGTCATTTTGGATCAAATATGGGGATGCTCAGCCCCCTAAGGCTCCACCCCGTGCATAATATTGGGGGTGTGGTATTTTATTAAATTTAGTTATTTTGTAACAAACCAAAAAAACAAAAAAAAACAATGAGGATTAGTTTTTAAAGATTGCATAAAAAATGATTTTTCATAAGATGGCTAAAAAATATAAATAAATTGTCAATAATAAACTATTATTCAGAGATCTTCCTCGCAACACTGGGTATCCCTGCTAGTCTATTTACATGTCAAAAATGGACGAATCCTGCAGGAGTGTCTACAAGCCAGTGATAGTTCGCTTACGTTTTATTGGATGTAGAAACAATGAAAATACTTCTGAACTGTTATGTAATATCGGTACTCGTATATGACAGTGGATTCTGGACAATATCATCACAGATGTGAAAAAGGTAACAGAAATGCGGTTCTGCAGAAGGATGCTGAGAATGTAATGAACTGGACACGCGAGCAACGATGAAGTTTTAGAGACAATGGAGACAAAAAGATCGTTTATACTTTGAATCAGAAAAAAGGCAGTTGAAATTTTCAAGGCGCATAATGAGGAATGAGGATTTAAAAAAAAATATGACAGTCACACGATATATTGAAGTCAAGAAAGACAGGG